CTGACACCTGATCAGACTGTAACATTAAACGAGTCGCTCTTCATCAATCACTGTGAAAAAAAAAAAAGCTTGCAAAAGAAACAGAAGAGTGCACTGTACGGGCGCATTACATCATTTTAAATTCTTTTTTTTTTTTGTCGGAATTCAATTGGCAAAGACATTCCACAGCAGCAGAAGCAGCAGCAGTTGTAAATTATCAATCTTTTTGCAAATTTTTGACAGTATGTGTGTATTTCGAAATTACGAATAAATGTGAAATCATAGGAAGGAAATGCAACGAAAAATAACTAGGAAAAAAAATTAATGAAACTAACACTGAAAATATCATTGACCGGTGAGCTGCTAAATCTTCGCATTTTCTCACTGAAATCAGCTGCTTCAGCGTTCAGATTTGCACCTGTATAATTCTGTTCGAAGTTAGCCGGTTCCACCACCTACAAATAAAATTATTTTATTTTTTTTAAAAACAACAAATGATAAACTGTAGGGCTGTCGGTACAGGCAACTATGTGTGAATAAATCAGCTATTTTATAAAATATTCAAAAAACTTTCTCTTTTTACTTGGAAATTCAATAAACTTGAATCTTTCAATGTTTTCTCGCAATGCTCGTACTGATTTTGGTGCTCTGAGATTAAATTTACTGCAATGATTATAAAAATACCCGATTCGTGTCTTCATGCAATGCATTAAGCAAAAATATCTGGAATTCTTGTGCATCATGCTGGCGACCATCAACCAACAGAGCGTTAACCTCTGCTTGGAACGTCTCCTAAATGTGAAAAAAAAAATTAGAAGATAAAAATCGTAGGTAAAAACTCTCTCAAAAACCAACTTAATTTGCATTACTGGACGCAAATGTACATCTAAAAAAAAATACAAGAAATTGTTGTGGACGTAGGACGCCGAACAATCCACTCCAAACAGCATCCACCAAAGCTGTATAGGCTGCCGAAATAACACCAAGTGTGCCCAGACGACTGGACCTGTAATGGAATTTGCTAAGTTGCGGCGCGAACTGGCAAAAATAGATGTCCGTTCAAACACGAAAACAGACGAAAACAAGCCTGTTGATATATTTGAGGAAATTATCTTTCGTGAACATTCTTCGTAACGGAGCAGTGTTGAAGAGTGCCTGGAGTGCAGCATTCATGAAACAGGTGTTTCCCAAATTGTACAGACCTGTATATCCGGGATTCTGAAAGTGACAGCACTTCTTAACCTACAAAAGTGTGACACAGAACAAGGAAATCGGTAAGTGCAAAAAAAAAATACATTTTCATAAAAAGTCCGTAAAAATGGCTTACACAATTTCGGGGAACAGCACTGCTACTGAGAGTGTGCATCATTGATTCATAGAGGCGCAGCAGTTGTTCTCCAGCACCACTAAACAACTGACATTCTCATTTTGAGGATTTTAGAGAGGCAAAAAATTATGAGAAATCCAGCCTGCGAAACTGCTGCCCAGTTAAGTATTAACGCTGTCCAACTGTGGCAAAAACGGACACAGCAATTCTAAGGAAATGTCAGAACGAGCTGACACTGATACATCTGCCCAAGCAGCCCTTAAAAAGATCCTACAACTTTATTTGCTCCTTCACGTTTTAACTTCCCTTCGTTCCT